GAAGATCATACATATCCCACCTAAATGTAACGACTGGTTCAGCGTTTCCCTACTTATACATAAATCTTTCATAGCTGAGCTTCATTCAGTTTTCAAACCCGTACATCCTTATGAAGTCACTAAAGTTAATGCAAGCATGTAGTTCCTGACTAACGCAACTGTTCCATTCATTATTAAATCATGACTCTCAGAAATATAACTTCAATACTTCATGAATGTAACAGTTTCTGGGAACAAGTCTCATGGAAATGAGAAAATCTGATCAGTGTATCCGGTCTGGATAATTTGCATACTATGAATGAAATTCATTATGTTGCCACAAACTATTTGACAACACGGATTGGACTGAATTATTAACGTTACATGAAATTTTTCATTATACGTCCAGATGGAAACTTAAACAATGCAGCAATTGATGGCTGTTCTAGAATTCTGGATTGATTTTTGAGTATAACCTCTGAGTGATGAATACACATAATTTTCTTTTAACTGTTTTTATCCATTTAAATATTTTGAAGGAAACTAAAAGTCGGAATTTTGTCTACAAAAGTACAAATAGCAATTCTGAAGTTCAATGCAACTATAAATTCAACATTACAACAGAATGCATTAATGGATATTAACTCATTTGAGAACACAAAATGTGTAGCTGCAAAATGTGCATATGAGCAGTAAATATACAGCTTTGATTTTAAAAATTTACTTGTGATACAACACTTAAATATGTTTATAACTATAAAATCTAGATGAAAGAGTGTAATATGAAATATGAATTTATAACTTTTTTCGCATTCAGTTTTGCTGTTTATAAGACTACGAAGGCGATGACCTGAACGACATACACTAAAGAATGTTTAAAACAAGTAACTTCATTATTTTTTATTTTAACGAAACGACAGAAATTATTGCATATAAAATATTCTGAGTATTTTAATTGCAGTAGTAAATGAAAGCTAAACTTATAAAAAGGATGCATTCTTCTGGCGGGGGGTGGAGGTTAGTTTGTAAATAATAAGGGAAGGTCGGCCTAGCTGAAATAAAATGATTCATTTAGTTTAAAAAGCTTATTTATTTTAGTTGCAATATAATAAAGCTTATTTTTGAACAAACTATTATTATAAGTTATCATGTGAAAAATGGAGTCGGAACCCAGTATACCGATCAAGTTAAACTGGGCATTTTCGATCTACCTTTTCTCAAAATCTGCAGTAGATTCACATTTGAAATTTTTCGTGTAATTAAAGTACACCTTTTTGGTTATACTGAAATGAATTTTAGAAAAATTTTATGTTTTAGAGCAATTTATAGAATATTGTATTAGGCCTAGTAAAATTTAGCCCTTTTTTCACACTCAGAAAATATATGTGTCATTTTTTCTTTTATCACAAAACTTTCATTTTAGTAGACATTAGAAAACGTTATAAGGTATTTCCCCCACCTTCTTAGCATGCCTTCGGAATGTAGCGGTCAGCACTCTCTGCGCGTATTCGAGAGATCCGTGGTTCGAGTCCCGGCGAGGATATTACTCAATTTTTATCATTCCTGCTTCAAAAAAAAATCCTAATGTCTCTACAACGTATAAAATAAGCCATAAAAATTTATATACCTGTGAGCAGTAGTTTCTGAGAAAAGGTACATCGAGTATAAAGAAACGTTGGAGAATATTGTAGAAAAATATGTAAAAATATGTAATATGTTCTTATGTAAAAATACTCATTTATCAAAAAATATTCGATAATAAATTGAAACTAGATTTTATACAGTTCTAATTTTCATAGAGATTAAACTATAGTATTTTCAGAAAGATAAAATTGTGGAAATCCCAAATCACCATTTTTTGAAGATTTTTGGCTTCCAGCACCTCTTTTGTTATTTTCTGCGATAAACTGACGCATTATGCAAAAATGCCACATGGTTATAAATAAAACATATTATTATGTAACGCTACATAGCTGACGTATTGTATGATGCATAATGTATGTTATCCTCTAAATGTATATTTATTTAGTGTATTAAATTCATGACTATGTCGTGCATTGAAACAATATTAAATTTTAAATTAATGTTGATCAGAGATAGCAACTACTTTTGATTATAATTGTATATATAAGGCATTTTATCAAGATTCTGCTTTTTTTTTCTTTTTAATCTGATAGTAATCAATATATGTGATATAAAGAAAATTTTAAAAACATAAAATACCGCAATCTCCCGTAGTATTATTTTATTTATAAACACAAGTTCCTTCTAGTAGTTTTCTGTTCTTTACTTCCTACAACAGTAAAAAAAAATTTTATTAAAATACATCCACGTACAATCTAAATCTAAAACCTTCTCTCAAAGGAAGAAAAGTAATCTTCAGTGCTCAATATAAACTCAATATTGCTTCCAAACTGGGACTTCATCAAAAGAGACAGGAATAGCATCTATCAGAAAAAAAAGACCGGCCAAAAACCGCACAGAAACCAATAAAGCATCACGTATTGCTCTATGTTGACAGTTGTAACAACGCATGGTGCATTAAAGTAACCACGTTAAACTTACGAGTCACGAAAATTTCTTTCTCTAGGGACAATCGGGGGAAGAACGTATATAAACCGTCGCTTTCTATATTCTGTGGTGCTGGACTTCATCTATATTGGATACACTATTCGAGCGTTAAAACAGGGTCTACGAAAGGTCGATAAATCCCCCTTTGACAGCCAATGGAAGAAGGGATTTGGCGCCGAGCTATCTATCAAGGATGAAGCTGGATGGTGTCAGGAACTGGAGAAATGTCAAGACATGAACTGAGTCCTGGGGCGTATTAAGTTCTGGCGGGCATAAACGCGGGTGCCAATTCTGAATTGCTTCAAGGCAGGTTATCTTCGAAGGATATATGGAATATTTCACTTGTAGGGGCAATAGTAATATTTCGAGAATGACAATTTTAGCATCAAAACGCAGGAGCTATGTAAGATAAAACAACAAAAACTTATCCAAACCATTTTGGGGGTAGTCTGATATGGAATACAAAATCCCGATTACAAAGCCTAAGCTCTTAAGAATATGTCTTTTAGATTGCTTAAGCCCATTTTACGTATTATTTTTCAATCTACATAAATAAATGTCTATCTACAGTAGTACAAATATTTTAATATAAAGTTCTAAACATCATTACCTAGTACAAGTTCTTTCATTTATTAATTCCTCAAACCTAATATCACCTTTTTTAAGTTTGAGCAAATAAAGCTGAAATTAAATTGTTAATTAGATTTATTACCACTAAACAAGTATCGCCCAGATGATATAGTAATTAGTTGAGCCTACTGTGGTAACGAAGTGTCGGGGTCCAAATCCTGTAGAAGATACGGATGTTTGTAAATATATAGTGTCTGTGCGGCATGGAGACACTCTAATTATGCGGTAAGCCGAAAGTCCTTTTGAGCGATCTGGTAGAAGGAAAGAAGTGTGGGAGACCCCCAAGCCCCCTCTGGAGTGCTCTTCCTCAAAATTGGGGTGGAAAATAGCAGTCCAACCTCTCTTTTAGTAAGCTGTCGCAAACATTCTTCCATGTAATATGGGCACAACAATAACAGCAACACATCAGTAATCACCAGGCTGTAGACATTAATTTTTTGCCAGATTAAGCATTTGCCAAGAAACGTACAAGCAGAAAAGAAACTTAATCAGGTACTAGGTGTGTACTTACAGCAGTGTTCTAGGTGTGTTACTTTAAATGGCAGATGTTTAATCTCCAATGTGGACCATGATCATAATAAACTTTGCGAGTTTCACATTTCAGGCATACATAATTTACATAATTTACACTGCAGCAGAAAGGTATGTATGTGCATTTTTTAAACTAATTTTTCCTTTCGCAAAGTAACGTTTAATTCCCCAAAATCATTCATGCAAAATTTAGTGTGAGACAAATAGCTTCTTCTACAAAACCTTATAAACTTTAATTATGTACAACTTTTACTTTAATTATGTACACCTCATTATAAAAGCAGACAAATCGATTCGCTGTGAGTGACGTGGCATTTATTTTACGTGAATTATTTAAAACTTGTATTTCGATAGCAGTTTGTGCAATCTGGTTTAAAAAAACATCGTTATTCTGCTAAACTGAAGCAGCTTTTCAGTTACGAATTTAATTCCTTCAACGAGAGAAGAAGTGCGCTCTTTTCTCAATAAAGAAATGCACAAAATAAAAAATTTACTGTTAATTAGGGTTAAATTAATGTGGAATAAGGATTAGCTAAGATAAAAAATATATTTCTTTTATCTTTCATGACAAGACTGTAAAAACGCTTCGCAAAACAAATTTACAAGGTAAAGTTTTCCAACTCACGAATTGTTGAGAAATACTATTCAAGTGTTTTTGCAATGTAATAAATTATTTAGTGTTTAATTTTTTTTCGTTTGCGCCATGTTCCCACACTCCTTATCTTTTAATCTGCTAATTCTCTAATATAAAACATCATGCGTAGTAAACATCAGAGATGTCTCTTGCCTCATTAGATTCTTCTTTCTCTTAATATGTAGGTTGCAATTCCGCTCTTGAATGTTAAACTATTCAACAGTTCTACACTATACATGAGACGCGATTCTGTTCAAAATTAAGTATGACAATATATTATATTATTTATACTTTGAAATACCCTTAATAATAAAAGTGGCAAAGGTATGCTAGTATTTACAAAGGGGATTGAATTGCTGTTTTAAATGTATGAGCAGTGTTGCCAGATCGTGCGATTTTTCGCAAATTTGCGACTTTTGGCAAACTTCTGCAACTAAAATTTTAGTATTTGCGATTTTGCGAAATCTTTGCGACATCCATCATTTTCTTATGCTATTTCTTGCGACTTCAAACATATTTTAATATATAACAAAATGCTTTGATGTTGAAATAATGTATCAATTAAATGTAATTTATATATAAAAAACAGTTTATTTAGGCTTAAATAGAAGTTGGCATCTGGCGATCTTGTTTACGTGTGGGCTTTCTTTTTCAGGGCTGCAGAGCCTGAAGCCTGTGTAACGAGAAGCAGGTAGAAGGAAAGGAAAACGTGGAAAAGAAAGAAAAAATAACTGCTTCAGGACCTTTCACCTTCTCCCCTCGTCCACCGTGAGTTTTGGTTTTCAGTCAGTCCCACCCAGTTCTATGGTAATAACGAATCGAACAAAAGAACTTGCAGGTTGTGCGTCGTTTGTTAAGTACCCAGACAGAGAAAGAAATGAAATTCATTCTCATGATTTATAACATTGCTAAGAACTATGCAATGGAAATGTATTAAAAAAAATCAAAGTAACGTCATTTTTCTAAATAATGACGCAAATAAATTTAACAGTGAAAAAAACAAAGATTTCACAAGTAATCAGAATGTGAAATAAATCGACAGCGTAGAACGAAAATAACAGGGGACCGGAAAGTAATGTCGTTTCTGCGCATGTCGACAACAACATGCTAAGGGCAGAAGTGGAAGCAAATCCATGTTAAATACTCTTAACCAACCTTGGTCGACCATCCAAGAACATTTAAAGCAGAATGGAAAAAATAAGCAAAGCAGGTGTTTGAGTCCCCAAAATCTGTCCGAAGAGAACAAAGGCAACCGGTCCATCACATGCAACGTATTGCTTCAACGGCACCCTACAAAATCGTTTTTGATCCGTTTCATTAGTGATTGTTACAAAAGATGATGAAAAGTGGAGACAAAACAATAAGTCCTATATGATTAATCCAAAACTCAAAATGGCAGTTTTAATAGGGGTTACAAAGGGTTTACATTCCGAAAAGAAGCGCTTCTGGGTTGTTTGATGGAGTATTTCGCGGAAACTTGTTCATTTTGAATTGCTGAAACTTGGACAAACTGTTAATGCAAACCTTTATTGTGAACAATTGGATGGAGTGAACCAATGTTTAATCGAAAATATCAATTGTCAATAGAAAAGGCGTCATTCTGCAACACGAGGTACTGCCATACTCACCCACCATACTCGGCCGATATCGCAGCATTGGATTTCCATTTATTCGGATCCCTACAATATTTTCTTAGTGGCAAAAAGTTTGAAAATTTGGATGATGTCCAAAATGTCCTCTCGAGATATTTTACTCAAAAACCAATTGATTTTTATCAGTCCTTGATTGAATATTTGCACATTAGATGGCAAAAGGTTGTTGATAACGAGGGTGATTATATTATTGATTAAAAATAAAAACTTGTTTAAAATGTATTCGTTTGAATTTATGTAAGAAAGCGACACTACTTTCCTGTCGACCTACTGGAACCAAATACAGTAACTTAAGAACCAATAGACAGTAAACTTGTGATGACGTCAGATGTTATGTGAGTATGCATAACAATGACGTCACAAAAAATCACGTGATCCTTTTCCGACTTTAGTTGAAACATTTCTGGCAACACTCTTTAGAAGTACATTATTTTGGATTTTCTTAAATAATTTGGCTCCTACTGTTCAAGAGATTACAGATACAGAATTTAATAATCATTTATCTTTGAATAATATTCTCAATTTAAACCTGCGTAAGCTGCAACAAGTCGAGCGGAAATACTAATATAAATAGTATATTCGCAGAAGGTTTTAAAAAATCAATTGTATACAAATCTATTCTATCTGAAAATGTGCGTGCAAAATTAAATTTTTGAATTATATTTTAAAAACAACGAATGAACAACGAACAGTCCTTAAGTACGCGTTAGAGCACAGTAAAAAAATAACTTATAAATAATACAGTAATAATAAATAATACAGTATCAATTTTTTATAGAAAAGCTGTATCACTTAACGAGGAATTGTGAGCTTAAGTGCTCCATTAAAAACTGATGTATTAAAAAAAACTTTTCAGCGCCATTTTTCACACCTCTTCGATTACTGAATAATATAATGATGGATCGAGGTACTGAAAATTTTCATCATTTAAAAATTCCCTTCAATTACTTAACTTAGTAGAAAAGTGTTTCTTCCTTCTTTTCTGTATTATATATCTATTGAAATGTTCATGAAATAAAAATAAGAGTTTGGAGGGATTGTGATCAAGATGTTTAATATTTAGATATTATACAATTGTAATAAATTCAGGAGCAGAAATTTTGAATGCTTAGTAGTGTTGATCCATAATGACTAGGAAATTGGAGGGGAAGACAGATTAAATCTTCAGTTTTATTTTCGGCAACATGTTGCGGCTACACACAAGTCGGTACATTAAATCTGCCTGTTCCAAAAGGCTTACATTCTTTTATAATTTTCTAGCAAGAAAGCAGAGCAGACACACAGCAGTGTAGCCAGACCAAAGCGTGGAAAGCAAGTGCGAATGTTTAGGATAAAATCTGCCAAACTGAGTTAGTTTTGGTTCTCAAAGCATTTTGATTGGATAGTTAATATTGCTGTAAAATTGTTATTGGCTGCTTGAGTTTTAGTTAAGTTTACATCACCAGAATTACGTAAGAGTCATATGATATAGATTTTTCTCGAAATGACGCAGTGCAAATAGAAGTTACTATTTTTAGAATAGAAAAGGGAAATTAATTTACGCTGCTAATTTAATCTTTTACATATTCTTTATATTCTTACATATATTACACTAAAATTTCAAATTATAAGAAGTAAAAGCTTTTGTTTTAACAATTATTTTCATATAAGCATAATAAAAATATTTTTATCCTATAGATTTAATTCTTTTTTAACTTTAAAACTTTATCTTATTTTTGGAGTTAATTGTTTTTATTAATTTTCAATTTTGTCTCTTTTTAGTGATGGTAAGAAGCGGACGAGGCAACACCTGTGTGTTGTAATTTGCAGATCAAACTATACAAGAAAGATATTTATTGTGCATTAAACCTCCTATGTCTGATATGAAAATAGCATCAGATTATGTGCAGAATTCGTGATGTATAAAACTGTAGTTGTCAAAAATTACGAGCTTAAGTTTGAAAAGAGTATTTAGTATACTATAAATAAACAGTTTGCACTGTTTAGTTGATATATTGATTATTAGAAAAACATCCTAACTCTACAGTGAGAATCCTTATTAAAATGTTGATGCTTGTAACTGTTACAGGTTCTCCAAGACAGCCAAATAATATCCTAAATGTGGCTGTTGGCTATGCACAGTTTAAGACTATATATTATGTTTAAGACTTCTTACAGATGACGGTCTGAAAGCCTGAAAGGGAAGGTTAAAACTGATTCCGTCGTACCGTAAATCTGATTCCGTGGGTTCTAACTACAAATATGGAATCAGAACCTTCCTGTGGAATTTAACTTTATCATCATGATCAAATTAACTTGATGAACCTGCTCAGAAACAGTCACCTACGCAGACGACCGAGGCGCTGGAAGTAGATTCTGCGTTTTGCAAAACAATTCAAATTATAAACTTCTGAGCACGAAATTTACGTATAAATAATTCAATGTTCCAAGCTCAAAACTATATGCAATAATTAAAGATGTCATCAGGAAAAGCCCCAACGTTTTAATACTTTCAGGGTTTGCATCTTGCTTAGTGGCGATCAAAGTAAGAATCTCTTGATTCCAAATATAAAAAACTTCCCCAAACCATCCTAGCAAACTCTTCCGGCGTGCATCGTACCAGCCAATACAGGATTTATTTGAAATAAAGTATAGAACAGCGGTTCTCAACCTTTTGACTAACGCGTACCATCTAAAGAAAAATTGAAAACCTTTAGTACCACCACCACCAACTTGAACAAAGCTCAGATCGCATAAATTTACGAGTGTTGGAGAAAAACCTCAATCAGGATGTTGGGGTTTTAATTTTTGAATTTAATAGTTAAAAGTACTTTGCTTCTTTGCGTACCAACCGGTGGTACGCGGTTGAAAACCCCTGGTATAGATCATAACTGCTAAATAAGCAGGCAGGGATCTTAGTGTTGACACCATTCCTATTATGTAAGTCTCAAATTTTAAGGAAAGGCAAAGAAATGCATTTGCTATTTGGAAAAAATTTTACAATGCAACGATAATAGTCAAAAAATAGGTAAATTCATTTCTCGAATCCCTACCAAGCTGATTGGTTGAAATCCCTTCTGTACGTAATTTCTCCCTGGAAGTAACCCATTTGCAACGTATCTGCCTCGTTTAGGCAGATTTAGGTTTCTAACAGTGAGGAATGATTAAAGATTACATACTTAAATACGCGAGTTCTCAGAACATATTCTACCTATGGAAATCATCAACGACCAGTCAGAAGCCAACAGCAGTATCTAAACTTGACGTGCACTCTAAAATACTGGACATTGTTTAAAACTGGCTGCGACGGTTGGTGACAGAACTTTATAAAAATATTGCACATCAATCTAACTTCACATTATCTGCTTAATCATTTCAAATACTATCCTATACATGTTTTAGTTCTTAAAACTAGCATTACGGTATTTTTGGTTTACCCTATAGAGTTACACGCTCTTTGGTAGCATAAAATGTAGACTCTACGTAGAAGACGAAGTAGCGAATACTCACTATGTCTTTTAAAAATAAATACTGTAGAAGAAAGTGTTAAATAACCTTTTTATTTAAACTAAATTAAATTATATGTACGCACTTGGTGCTCACAATTCACCACCACTTGTGGTTAACTAAATTAACACAAAATAAAAATGTAAAATGCACATTAAATTAAGATGGCTAACAACTGGCTACTTAGTTATCTAAACAGCTAAATCAGCTGCACACAGCAAAGTCGAGCCTGGAATATTAGTATAAATCTGACTGCTGTCTAACACCAATAAGAGAGCTAAATTCAACTATGCAACTTAAACTTCGGAATTAACTCCGCTACTACCTTTTCGAATCCTTGAAATGCAGCTTAAATACTGCTCCTGACGCACGTTTAGATTAGCTTAATACGTCATTTAAAATTTACATTCCGGCAGAAAACTGAATTCAGGAGGGAAAGGAAAGTAAAACTAAAAGTAATTAGTTAGAATAAAATAAAGTCTTTTTTAATTCAACCACTGCGTGCGGTCATTTTGATCTTAACTTAGTTAATGAAAAAGAATCTAGTATTTTTGAATGTTTTTTAATAAAATATACTATAATTTAGTTCATTAAATTTACTTTTTTATGGAGTTAAAATTCTTCAAAAATTTCTTTATTCTATTTTTTAATGTTACGGAATTTAGCAACAATATATCTTTTACAGTATAAATCATTAATGCTACACTTGTAAGCTACAAAATATTTTTCAGTCTAGATATTCATGGAATAAATAGTATTTCTCATTTTTAAAAATGTAATACGAGTAGTCTAAATGAAATAAATAACATAATTCGTCTTTGCAATTATGCACAAGTGATTAATTTTCAAAGTCCCTTATACAAAGTCACACACATATTTACTGTACGCAAATATTTACAGTTTTATATATTTATTCATTTATTTACATTTAATTTGCATCGTTTACGTTTATTTGCGGAAGAAACATCTTTTAGGCTTCTCATGCAAACAAGAGGGCTCTTTTTCGAGGAAGTATAATTTTATCGTAGGTTTTCAGCCACATCTAAAATAAATTCATAAATATTTTAAAGCTGGAAACATGAAAAATGAGTAATGCCCTCGCCGAGACTCGAGCCTCGGACCTCTCAAATACGCGCCGAGTTTGCTGACCATTAGACAACGAAGGCATGCTAAGAAGACGGGACCTTATAACTTGATGAAATATTTTCGTGTCGATGACTCAAGTCATCTATTATTCCATATTTGGATGCATTATAAAAACTCACAAACTCGGGTGTTTACTTCTCATTTGATGCAACTTCCAGCGTTAGATGATTGGAAGGATGTTTTATTCTTTTTTTCCCTGATACGCTGTGAGAGATGCGTTTTCATGTTTGACAACGATTTTTCTAGAATATAATTCATATTTCGTATTTTTGAACGATAAGGGGATCTCTTTTTTGCATGATTGATTATTCCAACATAGCTAATTCCTTTATTCCTCATTTGGTTTTACCAAATTCAAAGAAGTAAACTAACATTTCTTCTGATGTTATGAAGGTCTCAATCAACTGATAAAAGGCATGCTCCCGAAACGTTTGTTCAAGTGGTCTACTTTCATCTTTTCCCAAGTACGGATATCCATTTGGCAAGTATTTTCTGTCGACATCAGCTAAAAGCCAAACTTTTATTCCTAATTTATCATGTTTTCGTGGTATACATTCAATAAAGTGGCATTTTGCCTCTTTAGAAAACAAAAGTTCTCCAATTGAAATATTTTCACCTGGTCTGTAATACAATGAAAAATTCTCAATGAAGGTATCCTGTACTGAGGCAAGAGAAAATCTTCGCGCTCTAGTTGACTTTAAGTGCATATAATTCCTTATTTTTCAAGAATCAATCCACAGCCATTGTCTCATTAAGGAATTCTAGCCCGAGAATTTGGAACATGAAAGAAAATTTTTTTATTGATAAAAGATTTCCATACACTCCTTGTGTTCCATCAATCACTTTTCTCTCAACAAACATATTTGGCTTACCTGCTTCTCGCAGCATATTGTTTTGAAGAAGAATTGACATCTGTGAATTTGCCGAAATAATTTCCTTTTGCCACATTGTACCATCATTACTACTAATTCGTCTTTGACTGATTTTCTACAATTTCAAAATATCTAGTTCGCTTTCAATTTCCTGTCGGACTGCTACTTGGCCGCAAGGCTTTTCCATCATTTTGTACTGCGAATACTTCCTCGTCTTTGAATACATTCTCGTTCAAGGTTAAAACCTTGACTTCCGCAATTTTCTTTTGCAAGAATTGTATTTTGGGAATCGATACAATATGGAAATAATGAAGTATGACTTGTTCTTCATCGGAACCAGATGATAAAATATAAAAGTCACCTTCTGAAGGAATCATAAAACTGTCCTTTGTGTAACATTGTCTCCATGCGTAACGTGTATACGAGCCAGTTTCCCTTATCAAGTCCTCCACGAAGGCATCCCTCATCTTAGGCAGATAGCCCTCGAGGCTTTCCCATAATCATACACACAATTATAAGCAAAATTAAGAACCCTGTGTGAAACAGAGGAAGAAGAATAACTAAATCATTCACTCAAGAAACCAGAAACCCGTTTGGGACATTACCACTTCGGGAAGAGCGAGCCCCAATTTTTATTGCAACTGTCTGTTCAATAACATTTACCGTAAAAATACTAAGAAAATTGAAGCAAATTTGTCTAGTCACTGCTATACCAAGCCGTGTTAGTCTTCAACAAACGGAAAAGTAGAACAACCAAAATGATCAATAGCCATAATTCTAGGTATATACAGTAATACTGAGAAAAATAATCATTTAAAACAGCCAAATAAATTATTTTGTCATCTTAGTATATATTTAGGAAATTTAAAAAAATTAAAGAAATATATTTAAAACAAAAATTTTAAAATTAAAAATTTTTGAAAGGAAATTTTAAAACACAGTTTCTTTTGCCGTGAAAATGAACCGTTTGTGGTCAAAATTCTGGTGTTAAATGTCCCATTGCGCATATATATAGAGACAATTATTGAACTAGTATATGAAAAAAAGAACACATGATAACTTTTGAAGAATTGACGAAATTCAGTTAACACTTGGAGGTTGAATGCAGGGTATGTTAGGAATTTGTTTGCGCACTTATATTGTTGTTGCTTATTTTTCGTTGAATTTTTGAACGTATATTCATAGTCAAGGTCTATTTCTCAAACAGTAGCAGCCCGACTGCAGCTCAAAGGAAATTTACGACCGAGCATAAGCTGAAGGCATCCGGTCCAAGTGTTATAACAATAAAATATCTGACTAAAAAATTCGAGATAACTGATAATGTTTGTGATGGAAGTGTTGGCAATTATGGTCATCCAGCAAGCGTGAAAATGCCTGAAAATATCGAGAAAATGTGAACTGTGTTTCAAAATATCCCAAGGACATAGATTAGATCAGCTTCATAACAGA